AAGGCGTGCGATCGCACGCCTTGTTTGTTCACGCATAGAATAAATTTTTCAGAAAACATGACCGCGGCAATATTTCGTGTAAAAGCGGAAATTATCCACAGAGAATAAAAAATAATATTAAAAAAAAGAAAACGAAGTCTAAACAAAGTATAAAATTGAAATTGGATGTAAGAAAAATATTTTGATAATAAAAAAAAAAAATTTAATATTTTGATAATAAAAATTAATATTTTGATAATAATAAATATTTTGATAATAAAAATTAATATTTTGATAATAAAAAAAAAAAAAAATTAAAAAAAAAAAAAAATTCTTGTAACAAAAAAAAAAAAAAGTCTTGAACATTTTTTGCAAAATTTTTATACTGTTTTTGTTTGCTTTTTTAAGGGTTGCTATTTTCAGCTACGAAATTTGATACAAGTCAAGGAAAAGACGACGATAAGTCATAAAGTTTTCACAAAAATAAAAAGACTTGATACGTAATTTATTCACGAACTTTATCAGACAATGTATTAAAAAAACTGATTCATTATTTACGCTAGACAAATTTGGTTAAACTTTTTCATTTACTTTAGTTTTTACGAAGGTTTATGCAAAGGCGTTGACTTTATTCCCCAATACTTTGACAAGAAAATAAATTGCTGTTTTAATTATTAAATATATTATTTGAGATTTTAAACATAACAAAATTTTAATGTGAAAAAAGTTCTTTCTCGACTTATTCTAAACTGATTATACTGAGTCAATGCTCGCCTTTTATTACCTTGAAATTATTCAATTGCATAATTTTGTAATTACGAAAGAAGTTAAAAAAATAATTGCATTGCTTCTGTTGTCATTGTTACAAAAACAGTTCCTTCGGGACATTATTATATATTAACACTCGTTCACAATGTCATTTAATGATTGCAAAATAAGCAACTCAATCGTTTGACAATAAAATTTTCTTTCATTTAAAAAAAAAAAAAAAAATATTTTACTAATAAATAGCAATTGTTTTCATGTTTTCTTGCATATCAATACATTCAAACATTTAAATCAATACATTTAAACATTTAAATGTATTTACGAAACATTTCAAAATTGTTTATAGTTCTATTGTGAATTTTAAAGTATTACTGACTGATAAAAGTCATAAACAAATTTTACATTAAAAGGTCCTTTTATTTTCTTTAAACATTAATCTTTTTCTTTTTGATTTGATTTTTCTTATTGATTTGATTTTTCATAGCAAAAATAACTACCACCCTAAAAAAATAAATAAATAAAATATAGGTAAATTTTTTTTTTAATAATATACATTAATTTTTTAATTTTAAAGCACAAACAGATTTCTGTTATTTACTTTAAGGTTGCTTGCATTTTTGCGGTATTTTTGTTTAGCTTTGTTTTGGCGCAAATTCTTGAAACGCATAATAATAAAATGTGGTCAGTTAGTCAGAAAAATTTATTCTATGCGTGGACAAACACGCCCAACAAAAACGCCACAAAATTTATTCTATGCGTGGACAAACAGGCGTGGACCGCACGCCTTTCCTGGGAAAGCCTGATATATATATATATATATATATATATATATATATATATATATATATATATATATCATGATATATATTTGTGTGCAACTTTTTGACTATTCAAATTACCATTTTCTCTTGTTTTATGCTTTATATTTTAATTATATATATATATATATATATATATATATATATATATATATATATATATATATATATATATATATATATATATATATATATATATATATATATATATATATATATATATATATTATACATATATCAAGGATGCTGAGTCCCAAAAAGGACTCCTGATTTGAAAGTCACAAAAAGATTACTTTATCCTAGTTTTTGGTATCCAGGAGCTCTAAAATACAAATAAGTTTATGGACTACTAATAGGAAAAAAATTAAGACTTTTAGGTTAGAGGAACAACCATTTTTTGAACCCGGTGTCCTTAAGTATAATGGCAGCAAGGACTCCAGGCTTAAAAATAATAAGTTTAAAGTCATTAAATCTCATGAATTTTTTCTTATAGCAGATCATAAGCTAACAAACATGTTTAGAGCTTCTGGACACTACAGACTTGGAAAAAGTAGAGATATAAAGCCGGAGTCTTTTTGCAACTCCGCATCCCTGATATAATATATATATATATATATATATATATATATATATATATATATATATATATATATATATATATATATATATATATATATATATATATATATATATATATAATTAAAATATAAAACATAAAACAAGAAATAATGGTAACAAGAAGAAAAAAAATGTAAAATTTAAAAAAAAAAGAAGCTGTTTTAATTGCAAAAGCGAAACCAGTGAAACCAAAACTGAAAGAAAGCCTTTACGGTGTTAAATGTTAATTCATTGTTATTATAGATGCTCTGTTATGCAACTGAATCTTTTGCTAGAAAACATTTGCTAGATTCTTACTCAATGAGATTTCCATGCAGTTGCGTAAAAAAAATTACCTTTGAAAATGCCTTAAAAAATTATTACAAAGCAATAAGAAAATCTTCATTCAATGGTTTTCTGTAAAAAAATGTTTAGTCTTTTTTGTCATTCAAAAATATTATATCATGTAAATACTAATTTTAAAATATATTACAATTAAGAAAAATTATTATTAAATTTTAATTATTATTAAATTTTAACTATTATTAAATTATAAGTATTATAAAATATTTTTATGAATAGGAGTGAATACAGAACATTATTTAACAGAAAACAAGATTTGAAGTGTTTTAGTAATGCCAACTCAAAATTACTTACTTAAGTCTTGCTTTTTTTTCAAACTCTTTTCTCTCTTTTTCAACAACTTTTGGTGAACTTTCTTCTTTATTTGTTTTGATTTTGTTTTCAACTTTCTCAATCCTCAATATTAAAGTTTTTTCTTCGTTTAAGTTATTATTGGAGTTGGAAGACTAAATTTAATAAAATTTTATATTTTATAACAACAACAACAATAATAACAACAATAACAATAAAAATGATGTAGTTAGAAAATAGAAGTATTAGTGAAAAGAAATAGTAGAAGTTGCAGCAACATCGCTGCCATGTTTTACCATTGCTGCCATGTTTTAGTTACTACAACTCTTCAAAACCAAAAAAAAGGTTATGTAAAAAAAGAAATCTTTACCTGAAAGTCATTTTGTGTGTCTGTTGGTGGTGAAGAGGAAGGCTTACTTATACAATTCTTGTCAATAGAAATAACATCATTGTAGCCACTAGCAACAACTTAAAATGGAATTCATAAATTACATTAAAAAAAAAAACTAAAATTAAAAAAAAAGCTTGCAATTTTATATAAAATAATAAAATAAATAAAATAATAAATAAAATAATTTAAATAAAAAATTCATTAAAAGTAGAAAATAAATTAAATAAAAGCGTGCATCAAAATTCATAAAAAAAAAACTCAAAACTTATAAGAACAATGAAAGATTCTCAAAACTTATAACAACAATGAAAGATTCTCAAAACTTATAAGAACAATGAAAGATTCTCAAAACTTATAACAACAATGAAAGATTCTCAAAACTTATAACAACAATGAAAGATTCTCAAAACTTATAACAACAGTGAAAGATTCTCAAAACTTATAACAACAACAAAAGTATGAAAGTGGAAATTAAAATAAAAAAATGTTTTTAAAAATTATTTTATTTTTTAACATTTAAATAAATAATTAACTCAAATAAAATTATTAACAAAACTTTCATTGTAAAATATTAAGACAAACTATATTAAAAATAATACTAATAAAAATAAACAAACTATTTTAAATATTTTATATTAATTTTATCCAGAATAATAAGAAACTTGAATCTTTCGTGCGTATTTTACACAAAGTAGATATAGAATAAATAAAATAAACAAACAGCATAAGAAGTAACATTGGATTTTGTTTATATTAGTTTAATTATTTTCTTAATATGGCTACATCACTTTCTTGTGTTGTCATTGGTTGTTCTAATCACTCAACCAAATTTAAAAAGTGGAAAAAAGCTATTTGTGAAATTCATAAATGTTCAAAAGAAGATCCTAATTGCTGCTGTTCTGAACCGTTTGAACTTATTCCTTTTCCTGTTCTGAACCATTTTAATTTATTCCTTTTCCTACTGAAGAAAAAGACCCAGAGCACCGATCCATTTAAAAAAAATGATAAATCGGGTAAATTCAGACGAATCTCAATGGGAAGCTTCTAATTACAATATAATTTGTTCGGAAAAATTTATTCATGAAAAATTTGAATATCCTACAGAACTATTGGGATACAACGCATTAAATAAAATAATAATTTGTTCCTTCTGTTTCATCTAATTGTAATCGACCAATAAATAAACGAAATAACAACATTATTTTTTGATTCATTTTCAATAAAAACAGCCACTATATCCGCCTCTACTTGTAAAAATGTGTCTATGTGATTACAGCAGTTAATAAAATAAATGCTAAAATGTTTAAAAAAAACAGTTTAAAGAACTCTACTTTTAAAACTAAAATCCAAACAAACATTAGTGAAAAATCTTTGGTAATGCATAATAAAGTTTTTCCTGTTTTTTCTTCAGAAATATTGATAGACGATCTTGTTACTTTAGCATCTAAAAGTCAGTTTGTATCAAATACTAAAAAAAATATTCAATTAAATTCAATCATTTTGACCCAAACAGTCTTTTTAATTTTAACACTCTATGCTTTAATTATCAACTGTTATTTAGGAATTAAGAAGTTAAAAGCTGAAAATATTAAACTTCAAAACAAAATTATAATGCAACCAACTAAGCCTATATCTGTATATAAGAAACTTCTATCAAACAGTAATCTAAAGTTCTATACAAATCTTGATTCTTTAGAGTTATTTAATAAATTGCATGACTTTATTAGCCCTTATGTTAAAAAACAATTTAATTCTGTTTCTGTTAAAAGAACTGTCAGTGGAACACTAAAAAA